AGTCCCCTGAGCCTTTTTTTTTAAACGAACACAATGATGATGATGATAATTTATTGCCCCCTGGTGGTTCTTCATTAGGAAGCCGAGTTAGGGAGATTGGCGTTAGTGACCTGGCTGGGAGCAGAGTGCCGAGAAGGGGCAGACCAAGGGGGATCTGATCCCAAAGATGGGGTGACCCCAGGGTCAGGGAGGCTGCCCCCAGCCTTGAGTACTTAACCCCTATGCACCCAGGAGTAAAGAATAGTAATAATAATAATTCTATTTATCTAAGTTATGATGACGGGTCAGGTAGAGTGAGCTGGGAAGGGGATCTTTTTTTTTTTTTTTGGCTAAGGAAATTCTAGTCAAATGCATCTCTGTATAGACAAAATGATAGTGGAGATCTTGTTCATAGATCTCTATCATCGAGGTCTCAGTGTGGTTTCTTTTTCAGTGGAGTTTTAAAATTGGGTTGTTTGAGTTTATGTGGGTGTCCCTCAGTAAGGTCACTAAGATCCCCAGCCCCCGCCAGAAGCTGTGAAACTCCAAGTCCTACGAAGGGGAGGACTGGACTGTACCCCAGCTCTCTTGACCTCAGGGCAGGTTCTTCCACTAACCCTCTCCTCATACCCTGTGACCTCATCAGGCTCGTCCCCTGTTGTCATGGTTGTGGAGAACTTGCAGCTGCCATGTTAAAGATGCCCTTTGGGGGACTTTGGTTTGGAGGCGCTCCTTCTGAGAAACAGGTGGGGAAAGGCTTTCTCTGGGATCAAATCCAAGTACATCAAGTATTTATTGAACGCCTACTATGTGCAAGGCCTGGTGCCTAGAAGCCACGAGAAAGAAGTTATAGCAGGACAGAGGTCCCTAATCGGATTTGGGGGTACATCCACAGGCCCCCAGTCTAGGAGTTTCCACTCCATTCCAATGACTTTTAAAAGCCGCTTGTGCCTTTGAATGCCTTTCCTGAGACTATTGGATCTTCCTGTTCTGTCCCCTGCTCCTTCTAGGCCCCGAGACAAAAAGGGTGAAGCCAGTGGAGTCTGGGGGGAGCATCATAACGTCGCTGAAAGGATCATCCCCTTGTGGAGTCTTCCTTTTTTTTTAATTTAATAAATAAAAGTTGGATTTGAAATTGTGTCTGGTGAGAAAAGGGGAAGAGGAAGGAGATGGATGGCCCACGGGACATTTCCTTAGCAAAGCGGGGACTTCCTGTGGGAGATATTTAATCCGGCATGGTTGCATTCACGCTCAAAGTAAAAAAGAAAAAGAAAAAAAAAAAAAAAGCCGGGCGGTGGCGGTAGTGGCGCACGACTTTAATCCCAGCACTTGGGAGGCAGAGCCAGGCGGATCTCTGTGAGTTCGAGGCCAGCCTGGGCTACCAAGTGAGCTCCAGGAAAGGTGCAAAACTACACAGAGAAACCCTGTCTCGAAAAGCCAAAAAAGAAAGAAAACTTGGTCGGCCATACTCTCTAATGCAGTTGGGATTTTAGTCGGGAGTGCAGGAAGGCCGAGTCTCCGTCCGTACCCCCGACCGTGGTCTGGGCAGTGCCCGGGCCGGAGTACCATCAGAACTGTGGTCACGGTATGGATTAGCCGGCAGCGCAGCCCCGGCGTGTCGGCGGTGAGTCCCGGCTGGGCTGACCCGCCTGGCACGTAACCCGCCCCCTGCCCGGGGCCTGCAATCAGTCGTGCCTGCCTCGGAGTGAGCGGGGGAACAAAAGCCACTCTGTGACGGCCGTCCCCGAGCCACAATAGGGCTTTGTGCGGCCCCCGCCCCCGGGGCTCCCCCGCTGGGCTGAGGGGGTGCACGGGGCGCTTCCCCGGGCCGCGGCGCCGGGATCGCCGTCCAGCCCGCCGCCGCCGCCGGAGTAGAGGAGCGGGGACCCGAAGGCGACCCCAACCCGCTCCGCGCGCGCGCGCCTGTGCCCAGGTGCAAGATCCCCAGCCCTCCGGCCGGGCGCGCGGCTTCAAAGGCGCTTTGAAGAAACCCGAGGATGTGTCGAGCGGGCTGGGGGCTGCGTCGAAGGAGACCCGGGAGAGTGGGCAGGACGTGGGGGCGCCGGGGCGCACGCCCGAGGCGGAGGGCCAGGGCGGACCCCGGGCCCCGTGGCGCACAGGACCCCCCAGGGGCTGGCCGTGTCGCCTCCCGGGCTCCGCCTGTCCGGTGCCAGCTCCCGCTCGCCGCAGCCTCGCGGTCCTCCCCTCCCGGGCCCCTCGGCTCCTTTCATCTTCCTAGACTCGGCTTGGGGTTTTGCTGGTTTCTGGGAGATAAAAACCGCCTCAAATAGCGGCGGCGCGCTGCCAGGACAAACAGGGCCGGGCGGACCATGTGCGCCTGGTTACCGGCTCGGGGCGCCCGGCGCAGGAGGGCGAGCGGGCTCAGGCCCGGGCCGTGCCTCCCAAACTGTGTGGGGGGCCTCTTAGAAGTCTCCGGCCGCAGCTCCAGCGCTGCCCGGGCTTTCCCGCTCGGGTCGTAGGAGGAGCAGCGGCAACCTACGGCCAAAGGCTCCCGCCTTAGCGGGTGGGGCCCCTGGGCCACAGCCGCCGCGTCGCCGGGGCCGTCGCGCCCCCTAGTGAAGTTAGCGGGCGAGCGTGCTAGGCCTGGACTTTGGCCTCCCCTGAACCCGCAAATTGTACAAACGATTTTTAAAAAATGTTAAGTTAGCAGCGTGGAAGCTCAGGAGGGCCGTGCTTGAGCGAGGCCGAGCCGGGACAGAATGGCACTGTATTAGCTTCATCCCAGGGCGCGTTCGAGGTTGACTCAGACATGGAGCAGATAACATAACCGGAGGATGAAACGGGGGTGGGGGGTGTCCTCAACCAACGGCGCTGGAAACTGCAGGCAGGGGTGATGATGTCGGGGTGAGGGCTGGGTGGTGATGCGGGTTCAAATTAAAGCAGCCCGCCGTTTGTCTCAGCGCTCCTCGGTCATCCGACAATGTCCATTCCTGTTTTTCTTCAAGCGTGACTGACTGCCCTTCTCTCAGAGAGCTTTCCCAGCCAGGTGCCCCGTTAAGTGACTTCCCAGATGACAGAGATGAACTGGTTTGTCAAGGATTATCCTGGCTAGTAGGAAAAGAAAACACGATGCATGCATGTAATCCCAGCCCTTCGGAGTTCAAGGTCGGCCTGGGCTACAAGGTGTGAAGTCACTTTGGGCTACATACTTAAAAAAAGAAAGAAGAAAGAAAAATTAAAGGTCTGAGCAGAGTTACCCGAGGATTCTCTGGGACTATAATTCTGGGAACCTAGAATCTGCCTTTTTTAAAAAATTCATGGGCTGGAGAAAGAGCACAGTGGTTAAGATTCTTACTACATTTGCAGAGGACTCAGGTTCGATTCCCAGCACCCATATGCAAGCTAACTATAACTCCAGTTTCGGGGGATCCTGCTCCCTCTTCTGCGTGCAAGCAAAACATCCACGCATATAATAATATTAATAAAAGTAATGTTGATTTTTTTTTTGAGACATGACTCTCTATGTAGCCTTAGTTAGCTGTCCTGAATATGTACATGAAGCTGATCTCAAAGTCACAGAAATCTGCCTGCCTCTGCCTCTGGAATGCTGGGATTAAGGATGTGCACTACCATGTCCAGCAAAGTTTTTAAAGATTCATTTTTTTTTAAAAAAGATCTATTTATTATGTATACAGCGCTGTGTCTGCATGGCCAGAAGAGGACGCCAGATCTCATTACAGATGGTTGTGAGCCACCATATGGTTGCTGGGAATTGAACTCAGGACCTCTGAAGGACAACCAGAGCTCTTAACCTCTGAGCCATCTCTCCAGCCCTTAAAGGCTCATTTATTTTTATTTTATGCATGGGGGCTGGAGTCACGGGTGGTTGTAAGCTGCCTGATGTGAGTTGTGGGGACAGAACTATGGTTCTCTGGAAGAGCACCGATCGCTCTTAACCCATGAGCCATCTCTTCAGCTCCACCATTAACCATTTTAATTAAATGTAAAAAGAAAAGAAAAAAACAGGCGACTCCCACATCCCTTAACATTTGAGGAGTATAGGTACAGGACTCAGGACACAGACGGCAGATCTCCGTGAGCTGAAGACAGCCACAGTGAGCTCCAGGCCAGTCAAGACTGCAGAGTGAGAGCCTGTCTCAGTGAAATAAAGTAAAATAAAATAGAGCAAGCCAACTGCCTTATCTCAGATGAAGCGCATTTGCAGTCACCTTCTGGATGGATGTCTTTGTCTTCTGACCTGGGAACCTCTCCTTTTAGATAGAAAGGAGAGGCAGACACAGAGGCTGAGGACACAAGAATTCCATTATTGCTCTCGTGTTCTTCAGTGAGACTGGGAGCTCTGGGGTGTGGGGCCTGAGCCCTGACATAGCTTTGAATTTATTTATTATTTAACTTCTTTTTTTATATAATATTTTGTAGCTTCTTTTTTTTAAAGATTCATTTATTTATTACATATACAGTGTTCTGTCTTCATGTATGCCTGTAGAGCAAAAGAGGGCGCCAGATCTCATTACAGGTGGTTGTGAGCCACCATGTGGTTGCTAGGAATCGAACTTGGGACCTCTGGGAGAGCATCCAGTGCTCTTAACCCCTGAGCCATCTCTCCAGCCCCTATTTATTTCTTAAAGATTTATTTATTACATATACAGTGCTCTGTCTGCATGTATGCCTGAATGCCAGAAGAGGGCACCAGATCTCATTCTAGGTGGTTGTGAGTCACCATGTGGTTGCTGGGAATTGAATTCAGGAACTCTGGAAGAACAGCCAGTGCTCTTAACCTCTGAACCATCTCTCCAGCCCGATTTTATTTATTTATTTTTACTTATATTTATTTATTTATTTTTGTCGGAGCTGAGGACCAAACCCAGGGCCTTGCACTTGCTAGGCAAGCGCTCTACCACTGAGCTAAATCCCCAACCCCTGGTTTTGTTTTTCAAGACAGGGTTTCTCTGTGTAGTTTTGGTGCCT